TATTTTATATACCTTTTATATCTATTTTTACACATATTATATAATAAATAAATTCAACTTTGATGGGACCAAGTATCCAAGACTAATCACGGATTAATGAAAGTTGGAACGAATTGATTTTAAGATAAATAAAATTTACACTTGGGAAGATTAATTCGGAACTAATTTAAATCATTAATTGTTTCCTAGAAGTAATGGTTGAATAATTTTGCAGCAAATAAATGTCCAAGAATGTCGGAACCAAGTCAGATGAAAAGCCTGTTATAGTTTTCCTGCTACCTGGGTTATTAAATAAGAAATTAGCAGTTTAGAATAAACAAGTTTATCAAATTATAAAGATCCATTTGGATATCTGAATGAGGAATTTTCTCTACAAAGACCTAGGTTATAATGATGAGATTGGAGGAAAGTTTGAATCACATACCAAGTATAAAGTTGTATAGTTTAGCTTAAATTCATACCTTTAAGCCTGTACTAACATATACAGATACACTTGGACAAATCACAACTATTCAAAGGAGATGTAATAGTTTCATGCTATTTTTTATCATTAACATTACATTACACATTAATTATTATAATGTTAAGTGAAAAATGGTTTTATGGTTTAAAAAAAAAAATTTTTTTTTGATTTCTCTTATAATCAACCTTTTTATCAATCTATATTATAACATCTTGTTATTCTCTTTTTAGATTAATTTATCAGCCTTGCTAATTTCATAAATATATCAATATATTACCCTTTAAAAACAATTATTTAGTTATTATATACTGCATACATTAAGCCCTGTGATAGCCTTTAAAGTCAAGTCCCAAATTCTTATAACAGACTGGATGATGATTTTACATTAGTATTAAATAATTATTTACAGCATCATGTATATTGTAAACCAGGGTTGGCCATGGTACCGGATAATCGGCCATTCACCGAATGCGAATAACCACTGAATATCTGTTGAATATCCGTTGAATATTCATCGATCCAAATTTATTTAAAATATAACAATTATTTATTCATCAAGAAAAATATTCAATAATTGCATATTTTTTAAGAAATATAATTCTTTCAAATAATAATGGATTCGATTTTGTTCATTTGGCTGTCATTGTGTTTCCAGCTTCACTAAATAGACGCTCACTTGGATTAAAAGTTGCTGCAATACAAAAATATTTTTCAGCTAATAATGACACAGTTGGGTATTCATATTACTTGATATATTACAGTATATGATTATAATAGAATGAATGTTGGTGATAGTGTAATGGGGATAAAATAGTATTTACATGTATTAAAAAAACTTCATAGAATTATGCGAATAAAAAATTTAACATCTGACTGACTAATTATCAATGAAAAATTTTCAACA